ATCTTGTAAACAGCTTGATTAGAGCAGAGGGGATATGTTGGTCTCTGAGAGCCCACTGGACTCGAATCGAACTGTTCAGTTGCAGAGAAAAGTTCGAGTCCAGCGGCTCCTTTGAGACCAACAAAAGTTTTAAATGAAACTTGGTTGGTCTTAAAGGTGCCAGCGGAGTCAAACTTTTTCTTGCTGCTTCAGACCAACACGGCTACCCCACCTGTCCTACTGCGGCCCAGACCAACACGGCCACCCTCGAACTAATAGCAGTATATTTTATATTTGACTGGTTCTCGGATTTGCTTCTTGTAGTTTTAGTATCTTAAATGTTTTGTTATTACTACCAACCTAGCAGTTCGAAAGCAAGACATTGCAAGTAGATAAATAGGTACCACTTCAGTGGGAAGGTAACAGCGTTCCGTGCGCCTTGGTGTTTAGTCATGCCGGCCACACGACCCCGGAAACGTCTTCGGACAGCGCTGGCTCTTCGGCTTGGAAACGGAGATGAGCACCGCAACCCTAGAGTCGGATTCGACTGGCTTTCGAGCAAGGGGACCTTTACCTTTATTACTACTACTCTGAGGGCTCTATGTCATGGTGGTAGATAAAATAGCAGAAACACATTCTAACAAAAGGAGGCCTGACTATGAGAGAGTTTTCTGTGTTCATTTTGTTTATCTGCGTCTTGATCTGGTGACCAACCCTCCCTCTAAGCTGCGGAGTCCTATGAGCGAAAAATCCTACTTTGTGAGCTGTCAGCATTAAAGTTGTGAGCAGGCTGGTGATTTGGCTACTGCATAAATTAGTTTGCTCTGGACTGGAGCCATCCTTCCTGAGCTAGGACAAAAACGTGTGCGCCGGAGGGTAAAAAAACTGTGAACCAGCTCGCACTAACTCAGCTTAGAGGGAACGCTGCTGGTGACTCTTTTTGACCTGTGGATTTAACTGAAATGAGCAGGGTCTTTTTTTCCGCTTCATCGTCCGCAAGATGGGTGGGGGATCTGGTCTCCCTCTTTGTAGCCTGGGCTTCTGAGAAACCCACTTCCCCTTTGCATCTGCTTCCTCCCCTGGCAAACAGTTCTCCCTCCCACGAAGTTAGATGATGTGACGGTCCCAGACTTCCTCAGCCTCCTGCAGCTCAATGTCTTCGGCGTTTTCTTGGGATGCAAGGTGAGCGGATTCCAGTCCATAAGCGGTGGTGCTGTCTGCTGAGGTGGCTGCCTGGCTCCGGAAGAGAGGCAGAGGCAGAAGAAAGGGAGTGTTCTGCCCTGTGGTCTAGAGGGGTCACAGATAGTTTGAAAAACCATTTTGGTCCTCTGGCAAAATAGATAAAATTTAGCTTAGGGAAATTCAGTTACGGCATCTCAGTGGTGCCGCTGTAACACTGAAGTGCTATATTGGTTTAGCACTATAGCGCTCAACTTCGAATGTTCCAAAAAAAAGGTCCAAGGACGATCACATGGGGAAGAGGGGCGGCAGCGGGGGGGGGGGAAGTGGCACTGTAGGAAGCGTTCTGGACATTAAACAGCACACCACAGTGATTCAGAAGTGCAATGAAGGCCTATGACTGTTTGGTAGAACAGCATATCAAATGTTCTGCATCTTTTACAATTGCACCAGCGGTAGAATTTTATTTCTTAAACTTATTTAATGTTTAAGTGTATGACTGTTTGGTAGAACACAGTATCAAGTGTTCCTCATCTTTTAGAATTGCAATTCAGTGGGGGCTTTAAGCCTCTTTATTTTTCGTCTTGTGTAATCTTTATTTCTAAAAAAATAAAAAGGACTGGTGGTCTGAGACAGTGGGGTTTTTTTTGCATGTCTAATTTTCATTGCTTGTGCGTCTTTACCGTGTTGGCTTTTTCCCTTTTCTTGTGCTTTGATATTTCATCATTCTGTCTCCAGCTTATTTCACTGCACTTTTAAAAAGTGCTCCGGAATAAGCCGGTGATACAGGGATGAAATATCAAAGCAAACCAGTAGAGGGAGCAAAACACATGCAGAAAAGAAAAGAAAAAGCCAACGCAACGCAGGAACACAAGCAACGAAACAACACATGCAGAAGAGACCAGTATAAGACAGGTTCCCGAGCCTTCTCTTTTGGCATCAGATGCAGTTTCTCCCCATATTCTGTCATCTACAGTATGCGCTGCCCTACTTACGGAGAACAAAAGGAAACATCATCAACATGGGGAGTCTTTACGCCGATCTTGGCATTAAGGATGGCTTGACGTATGCTGCAAGCAAGGTAATTCTGACATGACAGGAGAACCAGACTTCAGCTTCTACTTTTTTTTTGGGGGGGGGGGGGGTGTATTTTTTTTGTGTGTGGGTGTGAGGAATTTCAGACAGACGATATAATCCGGAAGAGGAACGGTTCCCAAACGGTTTCTGGTCTGTCATTTCAGACAGAACCGTTTTAGAACCGGTTCCGTACTGGAAGATATTTGTAATTTCAGACACAAACGCTTCTGTCCCGTTTAGTAACGTTTTACCTGTAAACCGCTTTCAAGTAGTCTTCAGTTTCCTCTCCCGGTTCCGATGCGCTTTTTCCCACCATTTTTCGCCCGCGCGGGCAGTCTCCGGCTTTTTAAAAACATTTTTTTGCTTTATAGCGTTCGCTGGAGAAGTTGTCTTGTGGTTTCCAAGGCAGCTCTGAGGCTGCTAACTCCAGTGGGGTGCCTGTGGGGGCCAGGGCGCGGCTGAGGGGTGCCCCCTGGCCCCCACTTGCTTATCCCATCCTTCCTCTTCAGCCCAGACAGGGGAGTTGTAAAGTTCTGACTGGCTCATGGCAAGCAGAGCAAAAGCGAGAGTGTCGTAGCAGACGGCCCCAGAAGGAAGCACAGGAAGGAGACAAGCCCCCAAGGCGCAATGGGAGTCTGCAGAACCGGGGGCTTGTGGTAGGCTTTGGGTCTGTTTCTGGGGCTGGGCAGAGGGGGAAGGATAGACACTGAGGAAAGTAGGAAGTAATCTCCCAGGTTTTCATTGGGAGCCCAGTTCTCTCTGTATCATTAAATCTGCTACCTCGTCCCGCCTTCCTTCTTCGCTGTCCCTCTTCATGTTCACACCTTCCTCTTTGCCGAGCTGTGCTCCCCCCCCCCCCAAGCCTGCTGCTACCTAGTAACTTGCCAGCGCAAGGACCATTACATGTTCCCCACCACCTGGTTGGGCTGCTGTTGTCGCCTCCACACCACCACTAGGCCCTCCTCTCCTCATGGGAAGGAAGAGGTTCTGCTATTCCTTCTGAGGGAAGAGGGGAGACTACCCAGAGCCTGTTTCTTTGGGTCTTCACAATCTGAGCAAGTCTTACTTCAGAATTTATAGAGCTTGAGAGCCAGTGTGGTGTAGTAAAGAGCAGCGGACTCTGATCCGGAGAGCCAAGTTTGATCCCCCTTCCTCCTCCTCCACCCGAATCCTGCTGAGTGACCTTGGGACAGTCACTGTTCTCTCAGTACTTTCTCAGCTTCACCTACCCTACAGGGTGTCTGTTCTAGGGGAGAGGAAGGGAATGCGATTGTTAATTAATTATCATATGGCATTGTGTGTGGAATAGCCAGGAGATCCTGGAGGGATTGATTGGCTGCCTGAAGCTGTAGTTCTTTTTCGGCACCACTAGGTGGTGAGCTGTGCTTATTTTTAGGCTGGGAGAATGCTTATTTTTAAGCGGTGAGTGCTGTGACTTGCCTAAGGTCACCCAGCTAGCTTCAAGTTGGGAAGTGGGGAACTGAACCTGGTTCTCCAGATTAGAATCCGCCACTCTTAACCACTACACGAAGCCTTTGGGACTCCTTAAAGTAGAGAAAAGCAAGGCACAAAAACCAGCTCCTCCTCCTCCTCCTCCTCCTCTTCCTCTTCTTCTTCTTGCCCCTTCCTCTTCTTCTTCTTTCCCCTTCCTCTTCCTCTTCCTCCTCTTCCTCCTCCTCTTCCTCCTCCTCCTCCTCCTCCTCCTCCTTCAGAAGGCTGTTGGGATAAATGGTTTTGAAGAGAATTGGGGGAAGAGCCCAGAAAGATTGGTCTGCCGTGGGCTCTGACCACCCCTATGCTTTTAATGGCCATCTCTCTTGCAGACGTGATCATATTTATCTCTGTGTCCTGCAAAAGCTCCACGTGATGATTTCTGTGTATTGAGCTGCTGAAGGCCAGGCTGTTTGTGGTCCGCTTACTTGTTGAAAAATTATCTTACAGGCTGCCGTTATATCAATGACCAAGTGCATGGCAATCCATGAGAGCCAGTACGGAGTACGAGTCAACTGGTAATGGGATTACGATCCGAATAGAGCTTTGGTGGCTTGTGGCGCTTTTCAGGGAAACATCAACAAAAGAAATAGGCCTCTTCCACAAAGGAGCTAGGGTTGCCAACCTCCAGGTGGTGGCTGGAGATGTCCCAGAATTACAACTGGTCTCCAGCTGACAGGGATCAGTTCCCCTGGATAAAATGGCTGCTTTGGGCTCTATGGGCTCTATGGCATTGCACCCTGCTGAAGCCTTGCCCCTTCCCAAACCCCACTTTCCCCAGGCTCCACCCCCAAAATCTCCAGGAATTTCCCAACCCAGAGCTGAAGGAGCTTGCAGTCAAAAGAAAGGGCATAACGGGTGGGGGGGGGGATGAGGGAGTGTAACTAACGAGTGACTGATATTGAAAGTGTGTCGTATTCAGACAATTGCGTTTGGGTCACTTTTCCGTGGGGGAAGTTATTAGTTGTAAAAAGAAGGCCTTACCATTTCTTCCCGTTCAGAAACAGCAGTTACTGATATTGAAAGTGTGTCGTATTCAGACAATTGCGTTTGGGTCACTTTTCTGAGGGGGAAGTTATTAGTTGTAAAAAGAAGGCCCTACCATTTCTTCCCGTTCAGAAACAGCAGTTACTGATATTGAAAGTGTGTCGTATTCAGACAATTGCGTTTGTGTCACTTTTCTGAGGGGGAAGTTATTAGTTGTAAAAAGAAGGCCCTACCATTTCTTCCCGTTCAGAAACAGCAGTTACAGATTAAGCAATTAATTCAGGTTGTACAAGTTTTCACTGTAGCTCTGTTCAGATGCTATGCCCACATGGGCTGGGAGCCCAAGGTGTGCTCAGTCCCTGCAATGCATGCTTTGCGCGTGGTTGCTGTTTCAGGTGAGTTCGGGTGCCTGTGAAATTTATCCCCTCCCCTTTCAAGTTAACAAACATTTTTTGAATTCCAGCATTTCACCTAGTAACATCTTGACGGGTATGTGGAAAAGATACGCGGCGCTGGGACCAAATCCAGCGGCTGCAATTCAGGAAGGCAAAGATTATCAGGCAAGTGCATTGTGGGAAAACCAGAATGGGGGCAGAACAAAGTTTGAGTCCAGTGGTACCTTTTAAGATCAACAAAGTTTTATTCAGGGTATGAACTTGGCGTGCACACGCACACTTCCTCAGATACACTGAAATGGAAGGTAACAGTTCATTCATATAAGCAGAGGGTGAATCAGCATACAACATAGTGATAATGTTTTAACATGCAAAATCTAAACAGGAATAACAAGATTAGTTTATATGGCCACCATTTGTTTGGATTTAATTACAGGGAAAACATAGTAAAGCAAATAAATATGTCAAAATAGAAGACTGATTGTGTAGAAGTGCCCTTCTTAATTGTGGGATGCTGAGAGTAATTAACAGAGACCCTGTCATTACGCTCCATTGGTCTCCTCTCGAGCACGGAGGTAATTGACAGCATCCTTTTCTTTGAGGTGGGGGCGACTGGTTGTGCAGTCTTCTGTCTCCTCTGTCACCAGATCAGAGAAAGACATCCCAATATTTATTGCATTACATTACAATCACTACTTCAACAGACTATTCTAAAAAGGAGAGACACTACGATAAAGAGGACATATAGCCCTCCTTGGTGAGAACGGATCCGTAAGGACTGAATGAGTTTAGCATATGTAGCGAGATAAGAATGGGGGTGTTGGCGATGGGTAGTTCGCTTACATCCGTAAACACTTCAGTAAATAGGGCAAGTGTATAAAGGGTGGTTTAGGGAGCTGCGGTGGCTCAAGTGGTTAAGACGCTGAACTGCAGGCTGTGGAATGTCGGTAGTTCAGCAGTTCGAGACCCGAGTTGCCGCATGACGGAGAGAGCTCCCGTCTCTAGTTCCAGCTCCTGCCAACCTAGCAGTTCGAAAGCAAGAAATTGCAAGTAGATAAATAGGTACCGCTTCGGTGGGAAGGTAACAGCGTTTCGTGCGCCTTGGTGTTTAGTCATGCTGGCCACATGACCACGGAAACGTCTTCGGACAGCGCTGGCTCTTCGGCTTTGAAACGGAGATGAGCACCGCAATCCTAGAGTCGGATTCGACTGGCTTTCGAGCAAGGGAGACCTTTACCTTTACTATAAAGGGTGGTTTTTTAAAAAATTAATTCTTCATCAAAATCTCTGAGACGGATGTAACGCGAAACTGAAGAATTATTTGCATCTGTTTTCCTGGAAGATTCTGCTTGTGTTAAGTCATCAGGGAGATCCATCACAAATGAAGTTGCAGCGTTCTAATTCTATTGGAGTCGGTGGACTTTAGAAAGGGGTAACTCTACTTAGGATGGCACTGTAAGAGTGCGGTCCTAAGCAGGTCTGCTTGGAAGGAAGTCCCATTTTCTTCATTGGGACTTACTCCCTGGAAAGTGTTCCTACAAGATTTCAGCCTGAGTCTCATCAACCATCCATTGGAAATGCTTCTCAGCTCTGGTGAGAGCCAGTTTGGTGTCGTGGTTAAGTGCGCGGACTCTAATCTGGGAGAACCGGGTTTGATTCCCCACTCTTCCACTTGCACCTGCTGATGTGACCTTGGGTCAGTCACAAGCTCTGGCACAGCTGTCCTTGAAAAAGAGCAGTTTCTGTCAAGAGCTCTCTCAGCCCCGCCTACCTCACAGGGTGTCTGTTGTGGGGAGGGGAAGGGGAAGGAGTTTGTAAGCCGCTCTGAGACTCCAAGTGAAGGGCGGGGTATAAATCCAATCTCCTCCTCTTCTTCTACTTCTGGTGCTCAGCTTCTTTTTTTTTAAAGTATCTGCGTTTGTATGCGTGTGTGCATGCCTGGAAGTCACGGCTGACGTCTGGCGGCCCCTAGTGGAGCTGGGAGGCAAGGACGTTCAGAGAGGTGGCTTCTTATTGCCTGCCTCTGTCCTCCCAACTTGGTATTCCAAGGAAGTCTCCCATTCAAGTACTAACCACAGTCGACCCTGCTTCACTTCTGAGATCTGACAAGATCGGGCTTGCCTGGGCTAGCCAGGCCAGGGCCACTGCTCAGCTTCTGAGATGTTCACAGTTATGGACTAAAAAAAGTTGTGAAAAAGACCCCATTCTGAGCTAAGGCTGTCTAGGGGGGAAAGTGTACGTAAGGTGGTTTGTGTCTGCACGTGAGCGGAGTGTAGGGGACTAATTTCTCCCTCTGGTCTCTTGTACACTTATAGCTTATGGGACGTTTTGGGACGCCAGAAGAGGTGGCCTTGGCTGCTCTTTTCCTTGCTGCCGATGGGACTTTCTGTACTGGTTTGAACCTGATGCTGACTGGTGGAGCTGAACTGGGCTTTGCGAAGAAGAGCCAGGTGGCTCCCAAACTTGGCCCGAGTGCAGGTGGCAACTCGCAGGACTCTTCTGAGGAAGCAGGGTGGGGGACGGGAGACCGCAGCGCTTCCTCGTTGGGCTGGGGAGAAGAGCTGACTGTCTAGCCGTCCTTGACCCCAAGTCCTCTTTCAAGGAAGATGAGCGGCAGGTTCGCCTGTCATAGTAAAAGCCGCCCAAAGTCCTGTGGCCCTTTATGGACCAACCAGTTCAGAGAGGCCACAGTGAGGCCTCTGCTCTTCCTTCATTTACCCTCACCTTGTCTATTTGTTTCTCTTATTCCAGCCCCTTTAAAATTGTATCTGGGCAAACTTTAGATGCTTGTAAAGGAAGGCTCTGCATGGCAGGGGCTCAGGCCTAACAGAAAAACCAACAAGCGGGTTTGCTCCTGTGCCTTTAACAGCAGCACAGCCTGCAGCCAGTAGCCGATGACGATACCTTTCCGGAAGCTACTCATGGGAATGGATCAAGCATCTCTTAAAGGCGCAGGAGCTCAAAAAAAGGCACATTGACGGTGCTGTTCAAACGCCGCATCTGCTTGTTTCCGTGTCTGTGTAGCGGGGCTGAAGCTTGCTGCTGAGGCAGAACATTAGGGGAGGGATGACATCAATAGCTGCTGTTGGGTCAGCACTGGAAAACTGCCATTCCGGAAACATTCTGGTGGGCAGCAGTATTGGTCTGAAGCATTAGAACAAAGTTTGAGTCCAGCGGCCGCTTTAAGACCAAGTTTTATGTCCAGAAACATGTCCTCGTTCCCCCTTCGGTTCTGCTTCGTTGCAGAAAGCGTTCTCTGAGAGCACTTTTTTGGGGGGGTCCAGTGAAGAGCTATAAGGTGTGCTGACGTTGGGCATCTAGAGGGTATGGCAGCCTCCGAGGATCTTGGCACGAGGGGAAGGAGAATCTTGCATCAGAAGCTAGAGAAGTTCCGGGGGAACTATTTACCTGGGCTGGTTCCCTGGAAAGGAGAGAGAGCACTGGAGTGCTTCTGGTGTCTTTGCGTACTTGTCAATAATGCAAATACCACCAGTAAGGCATGGAGGCACTCCAGTAGGGCAATGGGTACTCTACCCAACTTCATAACCCAGGGAGAGATCTTGTGCGCACACCCCCTGGGTGCTTCTGCCTATTTCCAGGGGTTTGTGTTGCCACTGTCTTCATCAGCATATTGACCAACTCAAGGCTGTCTTTTCACCTGTCCCCTCTTCTCAGTTGTGGTTGGTGGGGAATCACCTCTTCCAAACTCTAGGTCCTTGACCAGGGACCTTCAGGGCCTTACTGAAAAGCATTCCCATTATTTTGTTGTAATCTCCTTCTCCGTAGGCCGGCTCCATTGATAACTCCTGGGCTTGTACTATTCATAACAGCTAATGAATTACTCCTCAGGGGACCCGCTGTCCATGGCAGCCCGCAGTGCAAAGGCAGCCGCATCTTGGCACGTGTGGACACTTTTATGCGCCCCTGCTCATGTCTGAGGAGGAGGAGGAGGCAACCTTCCCTTGCATAACTCGGCATTGATCCCCTTTGTTCTGTAATTTATTTCATTTTGCTGTCTGCACAATAAAAATTCAGTGCCTCCTACCTTTGAGTCTCAGAAGGCATTCCAGAATTTATCCCCCCCCCCCCATGTTCAAGTTTTTTCTGCTTCCAACATTGTCAGGTCATTGTAAGGGGGGTAGGGTTGCCAAGTCTGGGTTGGAAAATACCTGGAGACTTTGGGGGTGGAGCCAGGAGAGGGCGGGGTTTGGGGGGGGGAGGGGCCTCAGCATAGGACAATGCCATGGAGTCCACCCTGCAAAGCAGCCATTTTCTCCAGGGGAGCTGATCTCTGTCGGCTGGGGATCAATGGTAAAAGCGGGAGATCCCCAGGCCCCACCTGGAGGCTGGCAACCCTAAAGGGAGGGGTGTCTGTTGGGCATAATTTCTGCACGGGCTTACTGGGATATACCTATCAATATATCTCATTCTGGACTCGCCCCCCATGTGGATCGATAAACCAGTTAATGGGGCCAGGTTCAAGGGTGGGGGAGACATTTTTCTACAAACCCAGGAGAATCTTTAGGTCTATATAAAAATACCTGAACTAAAAAAAAATGAAGGAGAGGTTGGTTGAATCCCCCCCCCCAAAAAAAACGGAGGCATAGAATATGGGGGAGCAGCAATGTTCCCTCTAAGCTGTGGAGTATTGTGAGCAAAAATTCTACTTCGTGAGCAGGTTACTCAGATACTAGAATCAATGCTGTAGGCAGGGATGCCTGTTTGCCAGGGTTGGGCTGCCAGAAGTGTGTCATTCTGCTTATTCTTTGGGCCCCCACTCTGTAAGAGAACTGCAGATGCAGGGTGTATTAGTTTTACACAACAATAACACGAGGTCTCAACTAACTTGACCGAAATAAGAAGTTACAAGTATAGCTAGAGAACCAGAACTACTTATGGACAGCCAGACCTAGAACATACTTGCTAACCGCAGCCACCAAGCTAGAACTGCTAGGACAGAGCAGAGAAACACAAACTGTGTCTTAAAGATACAGTAATGCTATTTACGGAAGTCTTCCCTACAGCACACAAGGTCCATGGCTTCTAGTTCTCAATTTAACAGAACTTCAGTTACCTGGGGGGGAAAAATATCCCTTGTTTTCAGCCTTAAGAAACATGAATTTAATTTTTAGTGCTCTCTCTTACTGTCTAGCCAGGGACTTTTTAAGACTCGTGGTCACCATGGTGAGAGAACAGATGACTGTTTTTTTCTCACTTACCTCACTGAGTCATCCCCCCCCTCCAGCTCCTCCTCTTTCCACCAAACCACAAGCATGGTTGGAAATCTACCAAGGAAATATCTCCCCCCCCCTTCATTCGTCTTCATCCTCCAGCCTATCATGGGATTCCTGCAAAAGCTCATAGCATCATGGCAAAAATACACATTTACCCCCTCATTCTCCTTCACCTCAGGAACTACCCCTCCCCATAAGCATTCATCTCCCCTTCCCCCCCTCTCAATTTTTTTGGAACCATTTTTTTAAAAAAACCACACATTTGCATTACTAAGCAGTTATACCCTTTTCATCCCATTTAGACTTAGAAGTGTTTAATTCTGTGTAGGATGGAGGGTTGCTCCACAACATCTCAGAAGTCCACCTGGCCTCGTGGGATCGCTTGTGCCTCCTCCATCTCTCCCTTCCATCAGTGGCTGTCCCCCCCCTCACAGCCGCTTTCTCGCAGCAAGATTAGGCCCTTGTGGTTGGGCCGCTGAGCACCTGGGTCCAGGCCAGGGGGTCGGGAGTGGTGCTCTGCTGTGCTTTGCATCCCTGGGCATGAGGCTTCGATGTGCCCATATTGGGGCGCCACTGCTTAGCTTCTGGGCCCGATAGAACAAACACCGTGTAATAGTTCAATACAAATTCAAATTGTTTAAACCAGTACATAACAAACTGTAAAGACAACACACTGCAACAGTTAAGTATACTGCTATCTCAGTGCAATATGACTTGTTTCACAAGTGTGGTAAAGTCCCCAACTGGTACAAAAAGGTCTGAAGATCTTTTTGTAACAAATGTTCAAGAAGATTCCAAGCAGTCAACGTCCTATTCTGGAGTGGTAGGGGTTTCCTCAGTCTTCATCAGGACCACGTAAATCAAACCAAAGCCTTAAACAGTTCAGCCTAACATTACACAGTCACTTATTCACGAATGTGACCACTGTCTAGTCAATTTTAGATTAGAGGCAGCGTGCCCTAGAGAAGAAGAAATTGGATTTATACCCCACCCTTCACTACCTGAAGGAGTCTCAGAGCGGCTCACAACAGGCACCCTGTGAGGTAGGTGGGGCTGAGAGAGCTCTCTCGAGAACTGCCGTTGAGAGAACAGCTCTGAGTGAACTTATGACTGACCCAAGGTCACACCAGCAGCTGCATGTGGAGGAGTGGGGAATCAAACCCAGTTCTCCCAGGTTAGAGTCCATGCTCCTAACCACTACATTAAACTACACCAAGCAGCAGGAGAGGACTCAGTGTAGGGAGACCCCACCCCACTAGCCACTGGCAGTGAGCCATGTGTCGCCAGAGATTGGCTGCTGGGCCCATGGAGGAGGCCAGCATTGTCACGAGAGAAGCCGGCAAGCGATATGTTTGGGGGAGGCTGCCGTGCTGGGAGAGTCAGGCTAAGGAGGGGGTGGCTGCCTGCTCATGAGAAGGCGGAAGGGGGAGATCGTCCCTGGTTTGAGTTCCATTTTACCCCTGAGTAGGTGAGCAAGGAGGCAGTTGCACTGGGTCCCTGAGCTTCTTTCGGTCTTCTGCCCACAACTCTGTGATTAGTGAATGAGCAGGGTGGGGAGAGATCAAAGCTGATCTCTGGCCAAGAACTTTGCTTTCACTCTATTAGATACAATGCTCTAGTGTGGCATCCAATGAAAAGCCTCCAATCTGTTCCTTGCATTTGGTGGCAGTTCTCATGGTCAGCTTGCACTTCCTGGTGTATTGTGGCCAGTGCTTTTTGGGATCAGAGCATGCTTTGCAACATGCGAATTTTGTCACCCTGCACTGAGCAAAAAATCCATGTGCTAGGGGGGTCATTTCGTAGAAAAAGAGCTAGGGGAACTCATTAGCATAACTCATTAGCATATGCCACACCCCCTGACATCAGGGACCAGCGGTGGACCTGCAAGGCCGGCGGAAGTGCGAGGAAGCCCCGCTAAGGCCCTCCCTGGCCCCAGGCAGGCAGGGGTGGGGAGAGGCGGGGAGGAAGCAACTTACCCTCCCTCTTCTCCTGCCTCCTCCTGGCTGAATGAGGGCTGGAAGCGGGGCGGCCAGAAGCAGGGGGCGGGGCTTCATTGTGTGCCCCGCCCCCTGCACCTCACCCGGGGGAACTGCATTCCCCCCCCCGAAATCTGTGAGCCAGCACATACTAGTGCACTTTGATGGGAACACTGGTTGGAGTGATGTTTGCCCTTTGTAGAGCTCGTTTTATAACTCAGGTTCTCCCTAGACACACTCGAGCCACTCCATTGGGATTAACCATCATCTCCTAATGGGGAGCCCTGGCCTGGATAACCCAGCCTAGCCCTGTCTTATCAGGTCTCGGAAACTAAGCAGGGTCAGCCCTGGCTAGTATTTGGATGCGAGACCTCCAAGGAATACCAGGGGTGTGACGTGGAGGCAGGCAATGGTAAACCTCCTCTGAATGTCTCCTGCCTTGAAAAGCCTGTGGGGTTGTTGTAAATCAGCTGTGACTTAACGGCACTTTCCACTTCCTTATGGGGAAACTGAATGTTTAAAAATATGGATTATTTTTCAGGATGAAGCATGCAATTCCCTAGGATAAAAGTGTGATGTATTTCCTGTGTTAGAAAACAGTGTACTCCATGGTCAGCTGGAAATTTTCAGTCCCCACCCCCAGATACAAAGAAACAGTATTGTAGTATATCTCCTATATTATAAAGCTGATTTGGTGGTGGCACGTTGCTGAACATTCCACACGGTGCCCACAGCCTTTGGCTTCGTGATCTGTCATTCAGAAGCTGTCCATATCCACAGGCTGCGTTGCCTGAGTCTCGCCTCCAATATTCTAAAAAGTTTGCTTTTCCTCTCCCCCCAACAACCAGTCAGAACACAGAGGTTATTTGCATATGTGACCTGATTGGCCTTTGCCTCTAACATTCTAAACAGTTTGCTGTTGCTGTTGGGAGTCCTGAGGTGAAATAAATACCCTAATCTCCCTGTGGGGCCTGGAGATCTCCCACAAATCACTGTGTTTCCCAACCGCAGCACATCATTTCCCCTACAGAAAATTTCCCAGCTATTACAACTGATGTCCAGATGACCAAGATCAGTTCTCCTGGAGACAATGGCTGCTTTGGGCAGTGGACTCTATGGCATTATACCCTGCTGAAGGCCCTTCACCCCTCAAACCCTCCCACCCCCAGGCTCTACCCCTCAGATCTACAGGTATTTCCCAACCCAGAGTTGGCAACCATGTAATTGACTATGGAACCACTTTCCAGACCCTTGGAACCCAGAAAATATGGCATAGGAGGAGGTGCTTTTCTACCTTACCTGCCACTGCATAGCTCCAGAAATAAAAATGGCTTCCCTCCCTCTATTTTCCCCTTCCCTCTGCCACCCCACCAGCCACAGCCGGGACACTCACCTGGAGCTTCCTTCTAGAGCTTGTTGTATTTCTTCCCATAACGGACCTTACTCCTAGTTGGTTAATATTCTCAAGGAAGTTCAGTGAAAGGAGGGGGCGCGTCTCAGTTTGGATGGGTAGCTGTGTTCATCTGAAGCAGCAAAGTAAACCAGGAGTCCAGTGGCACCTTAAAAACGAACATTTTCCCCCCCCATGAGCTTTCTGTCAGAACTCGCATCATCAAATGCGTCAGTGAGGTGATATCTTGCCCAAGGTTTACTGAAATAAGAATTAAAAAGGCACAAAAAATTGGAAAAGGTCCACATTTATGGAGCAGATCATAGGGTTGCCAGATCGTGACTGGGAAATACCTGGAGATTTGGGGTGTGTGTGTGTGGAGCCTGAGGAGGGTGGGTTTTGGGGAAAGGAGGAGTGGGACTTCCATGGGGTATAA